TGCTAAGTAATTTGCCTAAAATTAGACGAGAAACTCTGTGAAGGCAGAGATTACGTGTCTGGGTCATAGTGGATCAGCAGGGAGCAGTAGAGCACCTGAAAAGTCGTAGCCAATCAATACTTCTTAAAAAATAAAAAAAATGGGCTGGGCTCAGTGGCTCATGCCTGTAATCTTAGCACTTTGGGATGCCAAGGAAGGAGGACTGCTTGAGGCCAGGAGTTGGAGACCAACCCTGGCAACATAGTGAGACTCCCATATCTACAAAAAATTAAAAACAAAAAATAGCCTGGAGTGGTGGTGTGTACAGGTAGTCTTAGCTACTCGGGAGGTTGAGATGGGAGGAAAGATTGAGTCCAGGAGTTCAAGATCAGCCTGGGCAACACAGTGAGACTCCCTCTCTACAAAAAATAGAAAGGAATAAAACAAAAATTGAGTACTCATTATGTGTAAGTATTGCTTCTGGAGTGTTTAGTATGAGTGTTACTGATCAGTACACAGATGGTGTAAATACAGTGTAATAAGTATTAAAGAGATAAGGCCCTGTGCAGTGGCTCACACCTGTAACCCCAGCACTTTGCTAGGAGTTCAGGACCAGCCTGGGCAACATGGCAAAATCCCATCTCTACAAAAAATACAAAAGTATTTGCTGGGCATGGTGGCACATACCTGTGGTCCCAGCTACTTAGGAGGCTGAGGTGGGAGGATCGCTTGAGCCGGGGAGGCTGAAGCTGGAGTGAGCCAAGATCGTGCCACTGCACTTCAGCCTGGGTGACAGAGTGAGACCCAGTCTCAAAAAAGAAAAAAAAAAAGATTAAAGAAAAAAAGAGATAAGCATAGGAGGGAGGCTACTAGAATAGAATAGTGATTCTAAAGAATTCAGGGATATGGAGGCTTCTTGGACAAAGTAACACTTGAGCTGAGTTTTTTTGGGGGGAGGGTTTTGTTTATCTTAAGACAGGGTTTTGCTCTGTTGCCCAGACTGGAGTGCACTGGCGCAATGATGCAATCAATTATGGCTCACTGCAGCCTGGACCTCCTGGGTTCGGATGATTCTCCCATCTCAGCCTCCAGAGTAGCTGAGACTACAGACTCACGTGGCCACTCTGGCTAATTTTTGTATTTTTAGTAGGGACGGGGTTTTGCCATGTTGCCCAGGTTGGTCTCGAATTCCTGGGGCTCAAGCCATCCTCCCACCTCCGTCCCCGAAAGTGTTGGGATTACAGGTGTGAGCCACTGTGCCCGATCTGAGCTGAGTTTTGAAGATAGTCAATGGGGCACAGTATGTGTTAAATCACTGTGGAATGAAATAGCATTATACATTTGAGGAACCAAAAACAGTGCAGTTTGGCTGAAGAGAAGAATGAGGTGGCATGATGGTGTTACGGTAGATTAGGTTATAGGGTGGATCTAGATCTATTTATATGCTATGTTAAAATTTCGGCTTTATTCTAAATTTAGAAATCACTCAACTATGTTAAACAGAGGAATGACAGAATCATATCTTCATTTTAGGAAGACCAATCAGGCAGCAGTGATAGTGCAAAGTGGGGGTAGAACGGAGGTGGGAAGGTTTAAACTAAGTATAGAGAGATAATAGAATCCATAGGAAAGATATCACTGAGAAAGAAATTGGATTGTGGGGGCTGAGTGAAGGGTGCTAGAATGACTGCTAGGCTTCAAGTTTGGATGTAGTGTCACTTAATAAGGTAGATAATAGAAGTAGAGGTTTTGTTTTTGTTTTGACGGTAGGTGAGGAGGCAAAAAGGATAATAAGTCCAGTCTTTCCTTAAGCTCAAGGTACCAATGGGACACATAAGTGTGCATGTTAGTCTTCTTTTGATGCTATCATCAGGTCACCCACTCTCACAGATGGTTTTCTTTGTTCTTGTTGTTGTTTTTGGAATGGAATCTCACTCTCTCTTTTGCCCAGGCCGGAGTTTAGTGGCATGATCTCGGCTCACTGCCACCTCTGCCTCTGGAGTAGCTGGGATTACAGGCAAGTGCCACCACACCCAGCTAATTTTTGTATTTTTTTGGTAGAGACAGGGTTTTGCCACGTGGGGCAGGCTCGTCTCCAACTCCTGAGCTCAAGTGATCTGCCCGCTTCGGCCTCCCAAAGTGCTGGGATTATAGGTGTGAGCCACCGCACCCGGCCACAAATGTCTCTTTGTGTGTGTGTGTGTGTGTGTGTGTGTATATGTCTTTGAGGCAGCATAATCTTTCCAAGCTTTTTATGTGCTATGAGGCCCCCTAAAAAGGAATCGGATGAATAAACAGGTTGTATGTTGGTAACTATAAGATAAATAGTACTTTGATAATTTGAAGAAATATGAAATCTTAACACTTTGTGAAGCCAACGGGGGTGGACCACTTGAGCCCAGGAATTGGAGACTAGCCTGGACATCATGACAAAACCCCGTCTCTACAAAAAATACAAAAATTAGCTGGGCATGGTGGATGCACGCCTGTAGTCCCAGCTATTCAGGAGGCTAAAGTGGGAGGACCACCTGAGCCAGGGAGCTCCAGGTTGCAATAAGCAGAGATTACACCACTGCATTCCAGCCCGGGCAACAGAGTGAGACCCCGTCTCAAAAAAATAATAAATAAAATAATAATTTGAAGAAATAGTCCCTAGCATTATACTACTACGATCTAATATCTCATTTCATATATAAATAAAACATGGCAGCATGAGTAACAAGTCCAATCTGCTTTCCATTATACTGTAATAACAGTAAAGCAGACGTGATAAAATAAGATGAATTACTTTATCTCTTTGAAATTACTTCCTGATTGGTTGGTAGTGCATACTCCATAGTACAAGTTTTATTGGCTTTTGCAACAAAGAAAAAATTTTTAAAAAGTAACAGATCTTAAATGCAATTTTCTTGTATCGCTATTAATATAATTACCGAACCTAATTTCCTTATGTTGCTAATTATTTTTGTCTTATTTTTCAAACAAATGCTTCTTAGCTATATTAATTTTTAGAAACATTCTAGTGCATTAGGATATTTTCTAGGAAACTAAGCACATAAAAATACCCACGATTGTACTTAAAATATTAGCCTTGTCTCTTATGCGTATATTACATTCACTCAAACTTTTTTAAAAATTTTTCCGACACGGAGTCTCGCTTTGTCGCCAGACTGGAGTGCAGCGATGCGATCTCGGCTCTCTGCAACCTCAGTCTCCTGGGCTCAAGCAATTCTCGTGCCTCAGCCTCCTCAGGAGCTGGGACTACAGGCGTGCGCCACCACGCCCGGTTAATTTTTGTATTTTTAATAGAAATGAGGTTTCACAATGTTGGCCAAGCTAGTCTCGAACTCCTGGCCTCAAGTGATCGCCCACCTCGGCCTCCCAAAGTGCTGGAATTACAGGCTTGAGCAGCCGCATCCGGCCATATTCACTTAAACATTTAATGACCCAGGAGAACATCCATCTAGGATTTTAAGTTGTACTCACAATGCTTTTATTTTCTGTTTCGATCAAAATAGTCTATTGATGACAATATTTGTGAGTCCATTCATTTCTAAGATATCAAATTGTTAGTCTAGCCAGTCTCCTTCAAACTTTTCTCCCTCTACCTACCATCGTCAAGATCTAAATGAATTCACTACCTCTTCTTCTTCCAAGAAAAAAAAAATCGCTCCTCCCCCTCTCCCAACCCCCCGAAACACAACCCATTCCAGAAAAGGAAAGAAGAGGGGACGCAAAGTGGAATAAGTTACGACGCGCGACCCAGCGCACAGAAACGGGACCAAAGCCCAGGCTCGAGACGGAGACGAGGAATCAGTAACCACAGCCGGAGGATCTTGGCTATTTGCCAGAAGAGAACTGACTGGTGCTAAGAAACCAGAGACAGAGCCAGTGACAGGAAGGGAAAGAGGGCCCACCCTTGGGACTGCCTGAAACACCCAAAGAATGAAAAAGAAACGTCAGGAATCCGAGACGGGCTGCGGTCGGCCAGAGCGACCAGCCAGGTTAATAACCAGCTCCGAAACCCGGCACATGGGTGAGAGACCCTTGGGAAGGAAACTGCGCCTGGGGACGGCCTGCTCGAAGGAAACTGATAACCAGGAAGCCTACGGCCGCCTCGCTTCCAAAAGCCAGAGTCGGAGCCCCGGCGCCCTGTAGCTGCCGGCAGACACCGCTCCTGGTCAGTACGCCGGCCTAGAGGCGGAGCCCGAGCTCTTTCCCCGCCCTCTAACGGCGACCCGGGCTGCGTTCTCAGTGCGCCGGCGTAGGGTGAGGCCGGACTCTATTTGGCGATTAAGCGTGAGGCTGCGTTCGCTACCCAGCATGCTGTGCGCTAGTGACGGCCCTCCGCCTATCCCCTTCCCAACTCTCCCCCCACCCCTCCCGCCGCGGCCCCCCTTCCCCTAAAGTGAGTGAGTGAGACGGGCAGATGGAGGAGGGACTGTAATGGCGGCGGCCGGCAGCTCCCTGCTCTGACCCACGGCAGGCACACAGTAACGACCCCTTCCCCGCCCCTCTCCCGGCCGGCCTCCGCCCCGCAGCCAGCGCGGGGCCACCCTCTCCGGCCCTTCCCCCAGCTGTCGGCGTCTCGCCCTGCGCCCCGGCCGGGGCCCCACACACAATGGACGAGCTTGCCGGAGGCGGTGGTGGCGGCCCGGGGATGGCGGCCCCTCCCCGGCAGCAGCAGGGACCTGGGGGGAACCTGGGCCTTTCGCCGGGGGGGAACGGAGCGGCGGGCGGCGGGGGTCCTCCGGCCTCCGAGGGAGCGGGTCCCGCGGCAGGCCCCGAGCTGTCCCGGCCGCAGCAGTACACTATCCCGGGGATACTGCACTACATCCAGCACGAGTGGGCTCGGTTCGAGATGGAGCGGGCGCACTGGGAGGTGGAACGGGCCGAACTGCAGGTACCTCGTTGGGGTCGGTGTGCGGGACGGCTGCGGCGGCTGGGTTCCCGGCCGGGGGGTGGGGCCGGGGACTCCCCTCAGCCGGAGCCGGTGCCTTGGGAGGCCGAGCGGAACCTACCTGTGCTGCTCGGGGTGTGATGGTCCTCTCAACGGCTTTTCCTGGAGTCCCCCTCCCTCTTTCCCGCAGAAGCTTGCTCCCCAACCTTCACTAGCTACGCGGTGCGGGCCTCCTCCAGGCAGCCATTTTGGCTTTTAGTATGGCGTCTGCGGGGGCTCCTCCGGAGGCGGCCTTCCCGGGTCTCCGGGGCTTGGGGCCGAGCACCTTTCTGTGGGAGAGTCCGGTTTAGGGCCTCTCGACCCAGAGTTTACTCTTGTTTGTTCCTCTTGAGATGAAGAGCCTGACGAGAATGACTAGGATAGGCATCTTACCCCCCTTTTCCGGACCACCCCCCTTTCCGATTTGGCATATCTGGCCCCCTCCCTGAGTCTTGGTACGCACTTGCCCCTTGACAGCCACGCTTCTTTCCTGGGCTGCTATGGTGCACAGTGACTTGGGACTGACCTGTGAAGTTTTATTTCCCATCGTCAACTTTTTAAGTACTTTCTTACCTGAGATGCTGCCTTAGTCACTTGGATTCTCTGTAGTTATTCCTTACTTAGTGACTCATCAACGCTTTCAGCACTGAATTTTTCTTTTCACAGTACTCTTCACTAGATCTCCTTTTCTCATCTCTTTATCCATAAAAAAACCCAACCAGACGGTCGATGCTGTACTTATGAAACGACTGAAGAGATTTAATATTCGCTTGAACTGAAATGTAGTTATATCATGTTACTTGTGCAGGAGAAGAGAAGTGAGATGTTCTCAGGACCCTTCATAGTTGAGCTTGACTCGATCCTCATGATGTGAACCTTTGATAGGCTACACATTTGGAAGCTGTTGGTAGTTAACAGCTCATGTCCTGGTTCTCAAAATTGCTGCATCTTTTTGAAAGGATTATTTAACTTTCTTAGGTATTTGTGTTTATTTTTAAGTACCTTTCCAGGGCAAATTTAGGCTTAGAAGCAAAAAGCATGCGTCTAAATAGTATGGCACCTGTTCTTCAGACTGTTGTATATTTAGGAGGTAAGCAGTATTTGCTGTCGTATATGTCATATGCCTATGGTGAATAGTTAGGCAAATGTAGTGCTGAAAGGAGGAGGATTGGATTAACTAGAAAGGGTGTCCTCAAACAAAGGGTGTCCTCTTTAGTTTGGTTCTGAACTAGTAAACTTTTATATGACTGCACAAAGTGGGTGAAGTTAAACTTTTCAAAAGTAAAAAATACTTGGGTATTTTGACACTGTATGAAGTCTTAAAAAATTGTAATACTTGTTAGTCATAGCTTTACAATTGTGTTTTGATATAATATTGGGCTTTAAAATTACATAACTTTAAAAAAGCTGAAGTCAAAACTGGTTTCTTTTAAGTTGTGTACAGTCTTGCTTTTAAAATACTTAAAATTTATAGAATTCTGTTGATATACAGCTTTCTACTACATACTGTAAACTTAATTTTCTGTGTGAGTAAAGTTAGGCATTTGTTTTTAAAATTTGGATTGACAAATGCATTAAGGCCTAGGCTCGCTAAGTAATACTTCACCAGTCCCTGCTATGGTTTCTTTGACCTTTGTACTATTGTATGCAAGTTTTGATTTTAACACACTTTAACAATTGCATTTTTCACCCATAAACTTCACTAATGTGAGCAGCTGAGAAGAAAGATATCTTGTGCGCAAATTAGTAAAACCTATACTATATATTAAAGAAGCCTTTATTGCCTGCTCTAGCATTTGCTTTCCCTTCTTGGTCTCCTCTCCTTAACGGCAGCAGCAAAGTATTTTAAGGAAGATTCTTTTTGCTTGCTTGCTTGCTTTCAGAACTATTGGTACAGTAGTTCTGTTATTAGCCATCCTACGTTTTTGTTTGTTTCCTTGTTTTGAAGAAGTCCTGCACTGTTTCTAGACTTATTTCGTACTGATTCTTTTGGAGTAAAATGTTCATGATGGCTTTGGGTTTTTTTGTGTTATATATTTAAAATGTTTTATTGGGTTAACTTAGTTAATAAGGTTTCTAGTTTCTATCAGAAATATTGAATTTGCCTTAGGTGCCTTCAGTCTACTGAGATTGCTTGTGAGATGCATATTTTAAAATGTATGTGTTGAATACATATTTGTGGGAGGATGTAGTGAAGCATCAGTGGATTTTTACTGTAAACCTAAACTTATTTTTAAGAAAGACAATCTAGAATTAAGACAACTTACATATTATTATGTGCAGTCTCCGGTGCGATTCCATCTACACATATTTTTAAAGTGTTAACTATGGAATAGTTTCAATAGAGAGCATGAGCTTAAGGAATACCCCATATTGATGTAAAATTTTAATGGGGAATATTATTTTCCCTGGCTTTGGAAGAGATAGTAAAAGGAACTTTGCAGTATGATTCTGTTCTCCGTAAAAAGAATTTATAGTAAAGGTCTTAGAAACTTGGAACGAAACCAAAGGATCATGTCTTAAAGCTCTTCTGTCTCTGATTCTTCCTTACCTTGAACTCAGGTAAAGCATTGTTAATAAGGTCGTAGGACAGTTGTTTCTTAACTTTTATATAACATGAATTATCAAAATTCCACAGACAGTCCACTTCAAGCCCTAGATCAGTCCAGATCTCCAGAGAATAAGAGGCCTACGTATTTTTTAAAGTTCTACAAGTGATTCTTTCTTCACAGTAGTGCCTGTTACAGAGAAAAATCACTACACTACACTTTTCTTTTTTGTAATTTCATAGTAGATTCATTAAATCTTGTCATGGAAAAGACACTAGGATTTGCAAATCACTATTCTAAACCAGCTTTTGAAAATCCTGAAAATAGAAAATTCAGGAGATTCCCCCCTTAGAAATGAAGAAATCAAGTTAAGTCTAAGCAAAATATCTCCTACTAACTTAAGGATCTTTAAGCAGCAACATCTATCATGTTACGACTTGTAAAAGTTAGAAACTGCCAGTTAATCAGCACTATAACCTTCTGAGGTAGGTATTCGTATTTTACAGGTGAGGAGACAAATTTAGGTAGGTTAAATAATTTTGCCAGGGTCACCTAGCCATAAAGTATTGCAGCTGAGATTCAAACCCAGGTCTGTCTGATTCCAAAGCCTGTGGTCATATCACCACTCTTGTAACCATTATGTTATACTGTCTTAGCACTTTTTTATAGAGTGGAATCTGACTTGTAATTCTTCGTCTAGTTTTGTGTGGCCCACACCACTTGAGTACATTTCAATGAAGTTTTATTGAACCCCCATGATGCTGCTGCAAGGCATAGTTTATATATATTGCTAATGTGTCCTTATATTTTTCTTTGTAGTTTGTATATAGTAAGTGGATTTTGGGTATATACAAAATGCTTGTTTGCCAAGTGTAGAAATATGGCATACCTAATACAAGAAAATGTAGTCAAAGAGTTTTTGTTCTTTTTTTTTTGAGACGGAGTCTGGCTCGACTGTTGCCTGGGCTGGGGTGCCAGTGGCACCATCTCAGCTCACAGCAAGCTCCGCCTCCGAGTTCATGCCATTCTGCTGCCTCAGCCTCCCAAGTAACTGGGACTACAGGTGCCTGCCACCACGCCTGGCTGACTTTTTTATATTAGTAGAGACGGGGTTTCACCGTGTTAGCCAGGATGGTCTCGATCTTCTGACATCGTGGTCTGCCCACTTTGGCCTCCCAAAGTGCTGGGATTACAGGCTTGAGCCACCGCGCCCGACTGACAGTGATTTTTCATAAAGGTGTTGCCTTTATTCTGGGATTTTTTCCCTTCATACATTTTTACTGTTAGGCGTTTCCTTTTTCAGATGATGGTGATAATAGAGTTAAAAAAAATTTATTGATGGTATTAAGGGAGTCCACTACCTTGTGTCAGAGTCCCTGTTTCTTTTTGAAGTCCTTGAAATGAAGTTTAGGGACCACTGATCTAGAATTCTCTGTATGCTCCTCCACTACCCATTAACCCCACTCTATAGTCTGCCTTTTCGCACTACTCTCCCCTCATTCCCTTCTAAACACTTTGTATAACACTACGTTTTCTGTTCATGATTGACCTTCAAATTGCCAAATTCTGTGGCCTTATAGACCATATGTACCTAACCAACACTCTGCTGTTAACAAGTTCTTCAAAATTATTTTCTTTTGCTTCCACTCTGTTTTTCCTGTCATCCACTTATCACTTTTCTTCATATGTTTTCTTTCTTTTGTTCCCAGTTGTTGTTACATGGGGTTCTGGTTCTGTTTTATGTTTTCACTGTATATTCAGAATCAGATTTTTGGCTACCATGTACCATCTTAATAATACCTAACATTTATTTACTCTTTCCTAAGTGTTATTCCTGTGCCCCAGTATTTCAGTATTCATTTAATTCGTTCAGTATTCATTTAATTCTCAAAACAACTCAGTGAGGTTGATACAGGTATAATTGGCGTCTTTTTTTTTTTTTTCTTTTTTCTGACACTGCCATATTGAGGTCCAGAGGTTAAGTAATCTATGCAACTAGGAGGCAGTAGAACTGGGATTTAAACTTAGACTGCCTGTAGAGGCCATGTTCTTTTTTTTTTTTTTTTTTTTTTTGAGACGGAGTCTGGCTCTGTCGCCCAGACTGGAGTGCAGTGGCCGGATCTCAGCTCACTGCAAGCTCCGCCTCCCGGGTTCACGCCATTCTCCTGCCTCAGCCTCCCGAGTAGCTGGGACTACAGGCGCCCGCCACCTCGCCTGGCTAGTTTTTTGTATTTTTTAGTAGAGACAGGGTTTCACTGTGTTAGCCAGGATGGGCTCGATCTCCTGACCTCGTGATCCACCCGTCTCGGCCTCCCAAAGTGCTGGGATTACAGGCTTGAGCCACCGCGCCCGACACAAGGCCATGTTCTTAACCACTACTAGATTTTTGGCATCCAGATGTCCCTTGTATATCTAATTTCCTGTTTAGTTTTTCTTCCTCCAATTCAATGCATCCATTCAGTTAATCTCAAGTGCCTGCCTCTTCCCCTTGACAAAACACACTTGTTCATTCTTTATTCCTTGCCGCATTAAAGTTAACACTATCCTCCCCATCCCTAGTACTATAGAGGTCGTGGAACCTTCCCCCTGCGTATGTTTGGCTTGTGAGTTTTATTGATTCCAGCATGATTATTTGGTGGTATTTGAGTGCGATTTTATGCTAGATCCTGGGTGTATAATGATGTATGAGACAAATACTTTGTCCTCAGGGAGCTTATACTCTAGAAATAATTTTTTTTTTTTTTTCAAGAGAGGGTCCTGCTCCGTTGCCCAGGCTGGAGTGCAGTGGTGCCAACATGGCTCACTGTAGCCTCAGCCTCCTGAGCTCAAGTGATCCTCCTGCCGCAGCCTCCTGAGTAGGTAGGACTACAGACATGTGCTGTCACACCAAGCTGTTTTTATTTTTAGTTCAGATGGGTTCACAGTTTGTTGCCCAGGCTGGTTTCGAACTCCTGGGCTCAAATGATTCTCCCGCTTCATCCTCCCAAAGTCCAAAGTGTTGGGATTACAGGTATGAGCCACCATGCCCGGCCAATAAAATGTTACAAACAACAAATTAACAGAATGCTGAGAGAATAAATGGTGATAGGAAACCTGTATATGTAATGGAGTTTCAGATAATACCTAATATTTATTGAGCACTTTTTTTTTTTTAGAGACAGAGTTTTTGCTCTGTCACTCAGGCTGGAGTGCAGTGGTGCCATTTCAGCTCACTGCAACCTTTACCTCCTGGGTTCAGGCGATTCTCATGCCTCAGTCTTCTGAGTAACTGGAATTACAAGCACCCACCAACATGCCCGGCTGATTTTTGTATTTTTAGTAGAGACGGAGTTTCACCATGTTGGCCAGGCTGGTCTTGAATTCCTGACCTCGAGTGATCTGCCCACCTCGGCCTCCCAAAGTGCTGGGATTACGGGTGTGAGCCACTGTGCCTGACCTATTGAACACTTTCTATATGCCTGACATTATTTTAGGTTCTTCAATACATTTAATTCTCATAAAGTTCCTAAATGTATACTTTTAGATCTGAAGTATCAGGAATACCTAATTGTACAAAGAGCATTCCAGTTGGAAGCTACAGCATTTAGCAGAAGTTCTAAAGTAGGAAAGAGCTTCATTTAAACTGTGTGAACTGGCCAGGTGTGGTGTCTCATGCTTGTAATCCCAGCACTTTGGGAGGTTGAAGTGGGAGGATCACTTGAGCCCAGGAGCTGGAGTCCAACCTGGGCAACAGTGAGACCCTGTCTCTAAAAAAGAAAATGTGTGAACTGGACTATAATGATTCAAAAAGCCTAAGTAATATAGATAACATCAGTATCCTAAAATATATTCTAATTCACTGATTCTTGATTTTTTGGGGGATTGTGTAGTCCCCTTTGCATATATTACGAAACCTATGGAGCCTCTTATAGTTTTTTTCCAAAAAGGGTAAGAAAATTTTACTTAGAATGCCCATGAAGCCTGACTGCTGACCTAAGGAAGTAACTGATTTAATCTGTGCTTTTTGTTTCTGTACTAACATTGCCTTAGTTCAGAGTACTCCTCCTGCCGGAATTCTTTGAGATAATCTCCTTACAGGTTTGTTTCATCCATTGCACCTCTTAACAGTTTATCCTTTATATCATAAATATGATTGTATTATGTATAATCCTCCTTTCCTTTTTTTATGAAAAGTTTCAAACATGTATGAAAATAATATAGTATTGTGACCTCCCACAAACCTGTCACTCATCTTAAACAGTAACAACTCATGATCAGTCTTGTTTTACCTGTACTTCTATCCAGTCATTGTCCATTCCAAATTATTATTATTTTCTATTATTTTTAAGAGACAGGGTCTCACTATGTTGCCCAGGCTGGAGTGCAGTGGTGCAATCGTAGCTCGCTGCAGCCTCAAAACTCTTGGGTTCAAATGGTCCTCCCACCTCAGCCTCCCAAATAGCTTAGACTATAGTCTAAGTGCCACCACGCTTGGCTAATTTTGTTTTTAGTAGGGACGAGATCTTTCTGTGTTGTCTAGGCTGGTCTTGAGATTATGGCCTCAAGCAATCCTCCTACCTTGGCGTCTCAAGAGTGTTGGGATTAAAAGCATGAGCCACTATGCCTGGCATTGGTTTTTTTTTTAATTTTTATTATTATTTTTTTGAGGCAGAGTCTCGCTGTGTCACCCAGGCTGGAGTGCAGTGGTGCGATCTCAGCTCACTGCAGGCTCCGTTCCCCCCACGCACCCCCGTTTTAAATGATTCTTATGCCTCAGCCTCCAGAGTAGTTGGGATTACAGGTGTGTCATCATGCCTGGCTAATTTTTTGAATTTTTCGTAGGGATGGGCTTTCACCATGTTGGCCAGGCTGGTCTCGAACTCCTGACCTCAGGTGATCTGCCCACCTTGGCCTCCCGAAATGCTGGGATTACAGGTATGAGCCACCATGCCCGGCCTAAATTTTCTTTTCTTCTGTAAGTGCTTGAAGTTACTGAGTTCTGAAGTTGTTGAGCTCTCTGCTATTGATTTGAGCAAGTTCCGGGCACTGACGGCTTTCATCTTCTCATTTTCTGCTTCTTTTGCAAGTTGATCAACAAGCTCAATTAAACTACCAATTATTTTTTGAAACTGGCCAATTTTGTCCACAGAGTTCTTGCACTCTTTCTTGAACTTTATGGTCTACTGGGTAATCTCTGAGTCCAACACCCACAGCTTGTTCAGCTCATCAAAGTGCAGTCCCTCTTCACCCAGGATGTCTTTTACCATAGGTGTTTCCCATCCAGCTTCCCTAGAGAAGCTCTGCTCTGAAGGAGTGACAGTGGCAGGAGGAAGTGTGTCATAGGAACAAGGGTCGAGAAAGAATAAAGTTCGCTTGCACAGGTATTGTTCATTCAACACACATTTCTTGGAGTGCCCACTACATGCCAACACTGCTAGATGCTGGGGGTACAAAGATGAATGCAACATGGTGCCCACCCTGCTAGCCCTGTGGCGGCAGCTTACTATAACCCAGGCTGATGTAGACTGGCAGCTTCTCCCTGTCCCTGGCAGCTGTTAGGCAGGCAGCCTGCCTCGGCTGTTGCCATGACTACAGAGACTCTTTACCCATGACCTGAAATATATTTTTATTAAGGTTTTTTTTTTTTTGCAAAATGCTTTTAAATTTATTTAAATTAATTTCCTTTTTTTTAAAATTGAGGCAGAGTTTCGTTTTGTTGCCCAGGCTGGGGTGCAGTGGGTGCGATCCTGGCTCACTGCAACCTCTGCCTCCCAGGTTCAAGCAATTCTCCTGCCTCAGCCTCTTGAGTAGCTGGAGTTGCAGGCATGCACCACCATGCCCAGCTAATTATTTTGTATTTTTAGTAGACACGGGGTTTCACCGTGTTGGCCGGGCTGGTCTGAAACTCCTGACCTCAAGTGATCACCCACCTTGGTCTCCCAAAGTGCTGGGATTACAGGTGTAAGCCACCGTGCCCAGCCTAAATAACTGTGTATGCTCGCTT